ATTGAAGTCCAAGCTCATCAAATTGATTTAGCCGAGTCCTCAGGATTGCAACAGAAATCATCATTTCAGCTAATAAGCACACTTGCAGGACATCGAGCTAGTGTTGGCTATACTCCTCTAGACGCAAAAAATTATTTGAAGGCTAAGAGACAAAGGGGAATGTTATACGGAGAAGTCAGTTGCTTAATGGAATACTTTCAACAACGACAGTTAATCGAGAACCCATCATTTTTTCATGCATACCAAATGGATGCTGAGGAACAAATCACAAATGTTTTTTGGGCAGATGCAAAAATGGTGATTGATTACGGGTGTTTTGGTGAAGTCATATCACTAGACACTACATATTGCACCAATCGTGTTAATAGGCCTCTAGCGTTATTTTCAGGTTTTAATCATTATCGAAGTGTTGTTATCTTCGAGGTAGCCTTGTTGTATGATGAAACAGCAAAATCATTTAAGTGGTTGTTTGAGACCTTTTTAGAAGCGCACAATCAAAAACAACCTCAAACAATTTTTACAGACTAAGATCAAACAATGACCAAGGCAATTTTTCAAGTAATGCCTCACACACATCATGCATTATGCACATGGCATTTAATGCAAAATGGCATAAAACACCTTGGCAATTTGATGAAAGGAGAAAGCCATTTTTTAAGAGATTTGAAAAAATGCATGTATGACTTTGATTCTTCAATTGAGTTTGAGGAGGCTTAGAAAAGGTTCATAACAAAATACAATGTTGAACAAAATTCTTGGATTACTTCACTTTATTCCATCAAGGAGAAATGGGCATCATGTTATCTCAAGGATGTGTTTACCCTTGGAATGCGAAGTATTCAATTAAGTGAAAGTTTAAACTCTGATTTCAAGGCATGTATGAAACGTGGTGTTGACATCAAGCAATTTTTTGCTCACTTTGAACGAGTTGTTGAAGAAAAGCATTACAATGAGCTGAAGCATGAGTACGACTCCCGCCATAAGCTACCTATGTTGCAGTATGAGGTGTCACCAATCTTAAGACAAATGGCGAAGGTTTACACAAATACAATATTTAACTTATTCCAACAACAATTTGCTCAATTCTTAGCTTGTACCATATCCCAAAGGATTGAAACTCCTCCTCTGATTGAATATGTGATTACTAAAGTTCATCAACAAAGATCATGGACAGTTACGTTTGAACCTTCCTCAAGCACTATATATTACTCTTGTAAGAAGTTTGAAACATTTGGCATACTTTGCTGTCATGCATTGAAAGTGTTTGAAGTCAATGATGTGAAGGTTGTCCCTGATAAATACATACTTAAGAGATGGACAACACAGGGTCGTAGTGGGATTATTCACAATGTGAAAGGAACAGAGGTAGAAGGAGATTCTAAACTTAGTGCCACACGCCGATTCCGTAACCTAGCATGTAAAATGATTAGGTTAGCCTCTGATGTTTCCAGTTCAGAAGAATATTGTCAGCTAGTTGATGACAGTATTAACAACTTAATCAGCAAAATCACAAAACTTCAGTTGCAAACAAACAGTCTAATGGATAAAGACAAAGATGATGCAGAATTTATGGCCAATAATGATGGTACACAACCAAAGGGATTCAAGCGACGACCAAGCAGTAAGAGGAAAGGGAGTAGACGTTTCAAAAGTTGGGTTGAGCTACAAGCAAAGAGAAAGAAGAGTAGAACTTCAATTTTAGATCAATCAACATCTCAGGTTCTTTTATATAATGATTTTGAATACCAGTAAAAACAATTCAGTTAACTTCCATATTATAACCATATAATATAATATTATGGGTGTTAATATGTTATAGGAATATCAACCAGTGGTTTATGATCCAGTTGAAGTACATTGTTCGGCACCCCCATGTTATGATCCCCATCACACATTACTTAATCAATTAAGTTTTACAGATTTGTTGAGAGTAATAATTTTAACCTTAACTTTACATTGTCTAATCATTGATGGTGGTTCCTAATATCTCTTCTTATTTTGTAGGAACAACTTCATGATACCAATGATTCAATTCTGGATGATATTTGATTGGAATGGAATGGAATCCTCAGCTTCTTTTGTTTTTTACTTGTCTATGTACTAGTGAATTCTTTTTGGATAAACTTTATTGTGAACATTTGTGTACCATTAACTTTATGGAATAGAATCTTTATCCATGTTTTGCTGCCACATTTAACTATTCTAGATGAGTGGAATTGAGTTTGATAACAAATTTTGTAAGATTTTATTTTGCTTTCACATGCTGTCAGTTTCTGCATAATTTTTGCCTTTTCTGCATAATTCGCTTAAACCCTTATTTTCGCTTAAGCGATTTTAAATTTGCTGCAACTTCCCAAAAAGGGCTCAAGCGATACAACCATTCACTTAAGCGGATTCTAATTAGCTTAAGCGAATTACAGCCCTATGAATCAGTGCTCTCTGTCTTAGATTGGCTTCATTTTACTAAAATTTGCTTGCATCCGCTTTAAGCGAATTATACTTTCGCTTAAGCTATTTAAAAATAGCTTAAGCGAGTCACTAGCCTGAAATTAATGGTTCTCTGTCCCAAATTTGCTTAAAATTAACAACATTCGCTTGGGCGAGGTAAAGCGATTCAAGAATCGCTTAAGCTATTTTTTTCGCTTAAGCAGAAATTTGTCAACCTCGCTTGGATTCGCTTTGAAGCTTGGATCCCAAAATTGCGTCGCTTAAACTAAAATCCTCCGCTTAAGCGAAAATTCACTCAAATTCGTTTAAGTCATTCATGATTCGCTTAAGCGAATATGGACATGAGCCTCATGTTCTCGCCACAACATGAGAGGATCCTGGTCCCAGTATAAATAAAGGAATTAATTACATTAAAAGACCATAAGACCATAAATATTTAAAGTTAAAATAACAATTGCTTGTAAGGATTGTTAAAAACATATAACATACTTTCAAATTTATTATTTAAAATTTATTAAAATTGTGAAAATATTAATAAAAATTGTTAATTTATAAGTTATATTATGCGATTTTGTGATTTATTGTAGATGTTTGTCAATATTAAAAAATATATGTAAGACAATACGTTAAAAAAAGTAATAGTATTTAAAAAAATTAAATCATTAATAATTAATTAATATTTTTATAAGAAATAAAAAATAATAATTAAAACAAATTTTAAAGGCTAACCTGGATTCTAATAAGCAGTCATCACATTTTTATTTGAAATATTTTAAAAAATAATTTATATGAAACTTTATTAATTGTATTAAAATATAAATATATAATAAATATTATATTATTATTAATTATATTAAATTATAAAAAAAAATTGACAAAATGATTATTTTTATTCTTAAAAACTCTGTCTGAGTACTTTCGCTCACAATTAATGCGTCCCATTCTTACCAATAAAGGGTGAGAATTTAGAGTTTTGACGCAGTAGAAAGAGGCCACGTAGCATTAGGCGTAAGTGTGTGTGTGAAGCATTTAAGAGTGTTTTGTTTTGGTAAGACCGCAATAAAGAATGGCAGCGGTGACCCTTCCATATCGGGCGTGCCCACCTCATCATTTCATCATACCTCTCCCTCTCTCTTCCATCAAATCAATTCTTTTTTTATTTATAATTTGTAATGTTTGAGAAAAAATGTATAATAAAAGAGGATAAAAACGTAACTACACTTGCAGCACCCTCCTTCTTCTTTTACCCAATGATTCTGACCCTCTCATCTCCTGTTGACACACAAATGGAAACATAACCTGCTTCATCATGTGTTGCCCATATTGCCTTCATTCATTCACCCTCCATCTCTTTTGCTTTCAACTACTTCTGCCAACTCTTCTCTTCCTGCCTTTATTTAAACACATCACCATTGACAATTTATCAGAGTTTTATTCCCTGTCAAACTACTTCTCTTTTCATTTTTTCCCTTTAGATTACAAATTTTAAAATGTTTTTATTAAAATTTGTTTTTGTATTGTCTTGGATACACAAAATTTATTAGTTCCGTATAATGCATACTGTTATTCTTCAGATTTGAATTCAATGAACAAGGCGATTATTAGCTTTTAACTAAAATTAAAGAAATAATGTTTGTCTTATGTACAAAATTCCCGCTGTTTACATATGCAAAAGCAGAAGTTTTACTAGTTACTAATTAAATTTTTGTTTGAAAACGAAACATGCTGTATATTTTGTCTTTTTTTTTCAATGTAGAAAGTCCAAAAAGTTACAAAAAGCCTATAATTTAGGTTGAAGGAAGAAAATATTGAATCAGGCAGAAGATTCGGCGTAATTGCAAGTGAAATGCGCATTAAATATTTAAAAGATTAAAAAAACCGCTTAAGTGAATTTTGATAAAAAATAATTTTAACTTAAATCAAATTTTATTTAAGTAAAAAAATTTTACTTAAGTAAATCTAAAACTGTATCCTGCAGTTTTTATTAGAACTGCCGACGATCAGAATTCATATTTAAAGTGGTAAGAAAGTTTACAGATCTTAAAAATTGTTACTTTGCAAAAAAACTGACGAATTTTTTAATTAAACATATCCGCAACGGTGAAAAATAAGCTATATAATCAACACTACATAATAAAATAAGCTTAAATAAATTACTTTAGAAAATCGTCATTATATTAAAATAAGCTTAATATAATTATATTATTGTAATTTAATTTAAAACAATAAATGAAGTTAAACAATTTTGTTTAATGTAAGTGATGCATAATAAATAATACATATTTAGAGACGAAACAAGAGATCATAGAAATTTATAAAAATTTTAAATGATTTTCCATACAACAATACTGTAAAAAGAAGTAGAGCAAGAAGATCATGAAAACTGAACCACAAAAGAAAAAGGGCAGAAAAAAAAAAGTGAAACTAAAAATAGGAAACAGAAGATAATGCCACAAGAGCACAACCCTGTCGGCGAAACCGCAGACTGTCCCCACCCCTATTTATATCCAAACCCCTCAACACGCCAATGCCATTCACCCACTCACATCACCAATGCCTGTCCACGCTCTTCCAATTCCCGATCACTCTCCGCCGTCCTCAAAGCCCAAGCCCAAAGAGGCCCATTTCAGGGGCGTCCGCAAGCGTCCCTGGGGCCGCTTTGCCGCCGAGATCCGCGATCCCTGGAAAAAAACCCGAAAGTGGCTTGGCACATTCGACACCGCCGAGGAGGCCGCTAGGGCCTACGACACCGCTGCCAGAACGCTCCGTGGGCCCAAGGCCAAGACCAACTTCGCCTACGTCGTTTCTCCACCACTTCATCTCCCTCCTGCCCAAGCTCAAGACCAACTTGCCAGGCCGCTCGAGTTTTGGGCCCCTCCTCTGTACTTCACAACGGATGTAGCTTCCGGCCCGCCGGTGAGGTCTGAGTACAAAGGTTACAAGTTGGAGAATATTGTAGTGAGCAAAGAGGATGACATGGTGAAGAAAGAGAGGAAGAAGCCGTTTTTGTTCGACCTTAACCAGCCGGCTCCGCTCTTCTGAAGGGGCCGCCGGAGAATGTCATCCCCCGTCGACGGGGGCTTACAGTTTTTATTTTTTCTTTTTTTTTTTCGTTTTTTGAATTTTGGATGGTACTTGAGCCTTGTTGCAATGTACAGTGTAGTTTATATGGGTTTGGAGCAGCATTTTGATGACTGCGATGGAAGCCAGCACAGTCATATATTTAACTTCCATTAACCGTTTGTTTGTCGTGTGTTGCTTCCTTGGATTCTCAATAGGAATTTATGTTAATACGTACAGTTGTATATGCAATCTTAGCTTATGCAAATGATGAATTGTGATATCTGAAGTGTTCTTTTTTTGTTTTTGCTCATTATCTTAAGTCTATGGCAACATTTTGAGGTTTAATGGCTTTTGGATTTGGATCTTCTTGGGTAAATGAGAAATCCATCAAGTTTATTTTTAAATGATTAAGAACCATGTTAGGACATTCTCTGATTCAGCTTGAAAGTCACCAAGTTACGCTGTTTCACTGGGCTGTGGGGATTAAATGCGGTTTAAATTTGAAGACTGATTCAGTGATCTGAGTAATGTTTGACTATGGTAGTGGCAGTAAAATCAGTGAAACAGGATCGGTGTTTTTTCATAGATTGTAAGTACCAACCACGTTATAAACAAGGGCAAGGATGGGTTCAAATTTCAGAAAGGCAAATGATAGCAGGTGTCTATTTAAAAAATTAAAAGCACTTTTTTTTTTTGTCAAAACATATAATAAAAAAACATTTTAATTTAATAAAATTCTAGTAAAAAATTATTATTTTCAGTTTTTTTTCTAAAATTATGTTAATATAATTATTTATTTATTTATTTTCTTCTAATATTATTTGATGGGTGTGAGATGATAATTTTCAAAAAAAGTATAAGGAAAGTGATGGTATGTTTAAATGTAGGCGGTGCGGCGCCCACGTGTCGTGGCCGCGTCTCTTTCCTTTTTTACTGCTGCTGGTCTCTACAAACCCTATACTGTTGCACTTGCAGTTGCCCTGTCTCGGTGAGTTGAACTCGTTGATCTTATCTTGTACGTCTTCAGAATGTGATTTTAGGAATATAATATTTTCATGTTTATTCACAATGAATTTTCTAACCTGTAGTTATTTTTATTAATTATTTTATTATAATTTGTTTTAAAAAATTATTTTTTTTCTTATTAATTAAGTGATACATTTTTTTAGTTTTTGCCGTACAAAGTTGCACAAATTAAAAAACTCGTATTTATAATCTTCAAATTTCTTTTCAGATGTTGATTTACTCTTATATAATTTTTATATTATTTCGCTTTAAGATAGGGTTAAGAATATATACAACTTCTATATGGATATATATATTAAAACTTATTACATTTTTTATTTAGTGATTTTATTCCTACTTTTATTTCTTTCTTCTATCATTTATTTTAGTTTTGCAAATATTTTAAAAATATTAATTTTTACTAAATATGTTTTTCAGTTGATCTAAAAATAACATTTTTGGCAGTGATATTTACATTTATAACATGTACTAAGAATTATCACAACCTTCAACAAGAAAGAATAATTCAAACTGATTACACGATTAGTCATGATGTTTTTATATAAATTCATATATGTTCAAGTTGATTTTGTAAAATTATTGTTGAAAAATTAATATTTAAAATAAATTTAAAGGTTTAAATATACGGTGGAAAGACAATATACTATAGAATAAATGATCAATAAATTATTCATAAGTTGTCATATCATTAATGGATGATATATAACACATTAAAGGTAAATAATTAACATATTAACTTTAAACTATCAAATAAATATATCTAGAAATAATAAATATATTAATTTTTATCACTCTCCTTTGAGTTTCGTTCTTATCTCGAGCCTTCCTTTGCCAATTTTGTCTTCTAAGCATATCTGCGAGCTAACACACTGACCCACATTGCAACAAAGTCTAGTGAAGTAGGATCGGTGTGATAGAGAAGATGTCAGAAAATGATCAGAGAAAATGTTTTTTTATTTAATTGTAAGAATTTCACTTTATTTTCATTCTATTTTTATTTTAAAAAAATTATTAAAAAATAATGAAAATAACTTTTTTCAGAGATATACAAAAACATGCGCGAGGAAAGAGGAATAAAAATGAAAACCAATTGATTTGGTAAAATATTTTTAATTTTTATTCAAAAATATTTTTCATAATTTGAAAATAAGTTCGTATATATATTTTTATAATTTTTTCCCTGACCATTATCTCTAATATTCTTCCGACTATGATACTGAGTGCCAAAGTTTCTATGAACCAATGCATTTGTGCATGAGCTTGCAAGGGTCAGGCTGAAAGAAGCTTCACTGTGTGAAAAAAGATTGGTTCTCTTTCGGCATTACTTGCAGATTGAGCACTTGCAAGGTTGAGAATCACTCTTTGCAAACGTCTTTCGCCAGCTTCCCATTGCTTACAAGGAACCGTCACACGAAGTTTCCTCTTGGCATCAGCTTGCAAGGGCCATGTTTAAAAACAAACAAAATATGAATTAGGACATTTTATCCTTGAATTTTTATTTACTCTTCTGTAATAATTACAAAAATACTATAAAAGGGGTGAAAATAGAGATAAAAATAATGTAACGAAGTAATGAAAATTTTAAAAATGCCGCCTTTAAAAAAAAAGGAATGTATTTAATTATTGAATTTATAAATAAAAATATTTAATCAAATATGTTTGTTTTATTCCATTTTTAATAAAAATGAAAATAAAAGATAAAGTGAACATGTCTTCTTTTTTTTATATTCAACACAGTTTAAAAGTTTAAAAAATCACAATCAATCTAGGAAACAAATCTAAGATACCCCACACCTAGAGAATCAGCTTTCGTTAAAGGGGTTAAAAAGGAGAGTACCTGATCAAAAATACAAAAATCACAATATATAGTAAGAGTCATGAGTTCTACAATAACATATATCAAACTAATATATTTTTACATTCTTGAAGCATACATGGTCTAATTCATAATCTCACTTGTGAACTCAATAAGCTTAAAATAATGGTAACATGCCTTTTTATTTTATTTATTTATTTGATATTTTATAACATATTTATCATTTTATCTCTAATATTTTGTATATTTATTTGTTCATGACATAATATTTTATTTTTCTTTGTTTATCTATTATTGAATAAGTTGGCGTTTTAAAATTTGAAAATAAAAAATTACCTCCAATCCCTTTTTTATTTCTTTTCTGGTGGGTCCAATCCTTTCTGAACTCCAATATGGCTGTATCCAAAGTTAGCCTGTGGCTTTGGGCAAGGCTTGTGTCTTGTGGACAGACACAACTACGGTATACAGACTAGAGAAGATAAGACAAGCTAGTTAAAGTGCAAAACCCCAACCCAATGGGCTCAACCCAGTTAATGGAACCAACCACATCTTCATTCACCGGCAGTGCCCATTATTCAAAAACCAAGCACTGGACCGTAGTGGCCCACATTTCAATATTTCAAGCCTTTTAATTTTGTTCAGCCGAAACAAAAAAGCCCATCAAGTTTTGGGACCTTTTGCTCATAGGAATAACAAAAGGTTAATAAAAATACTCAAAGAAAGAAATGGGTTTTGTTTTTAGAAAAAAAATAATCTAATAGTGTACCAAAAGATTAAGAAAACATAGCATCCATTAAATCAATTCATTGAACCATAAGACTACAGTAATTCATCCTAGGTTACAAGACATCCATGACGGATATTAGTTTAATTTTTCTTCTTCCTAAAGCAAATCCAATTTTGAATCAGTGGACACAGATCCATTGCACTTCCGCTGTAGTTAAAAATTATGGATAATTATTACACTCGCCAAGAGTTAGCTTAAGTTGCTACTGTATTCGAATAAGCTTTTGCAGACTTGATTTTACATGAAAGCAAAGTAATTTATGTTCACAAACTTCTGAAAAATAAAATCAACTCAAATAAAATAATTTTTTTATTTGTTTTACTCAAACAACCTTGCTGGAGCAAAACTAATACTACCTTAAAGTGGCCAACTAGGAATATTTAACCGAAGATTCTTTTAACATGTGAAATCAATAAATAATAAAATCTTATAAAAAATTACAATATTTAGTTTATTATGTAGTTTTTAATAAATTAGATCGTGTGATTTTTATGGTATGCCCTTTTTAAAATGATTTTACCTAAATCACATTAGCAGCTTAGCCCATCCAAACACTTGCTTAGGATATCAATATAAACTATAAAATGTTAGGCGACATTCCACTTCTACTTTCAAAAGGACTAAATTGATAACTGGTGAGAGACTTAGAGCATGTTTGCTTGAGGGTTCAATGAAAATAGAGTACTTTACGAGATAAAATTTATGGTTGATATTTAAGAGACTTGGTGCCTATTTGTTTGAGCAGTCATTGAAATCGAAGTACTTTACGAGCTAAGATTTCTTGTTGATATTTGTTTGTGCATGCATTGCTACTACGGTTAGTGACATTGAATTTTTTTTAGCCTTATGAGGAATCGATATATGCATGCATCCAAATAGGCCTTTTAACAAATTAATATCTTCTTCATGTGCCCTATTACAAAATCAAAATAAAATGGATATTTTTCTCATTTTAAATTAATGTGAGATATTTTAACACACTTTCTCATATTGAATATTTGTGGGTGATCTAATATTAAAACTAAATAAATAGAGTTTAATATCATATTAAAAAAATTAGATCTAACTCATTTTCAAAACTTAGCCCATGAGAAAGGAACTGTCTAAACTTTAAAAGATATCTAAACATATACTCAAAATTAAGTATATTTTCCCTTTGGAACATGCTTTCTTTGAGTTTTTGTTTTCCTTCTTACTTCCCATTTTCAATAACAATTACAAAAATATCATATTATAATTGTTATTATTATTTCACGGAAAGGTGGGAAAAGACACGATTGAGAGAGGTTGGTATTGGACCCAGGAAAACTTGGATGGAGTATGATTGCCCATATTGGTCCCTTTGGTAGCTCACATGTTGTGTTGAGTAACCTATACAAAACAAAGAGACACTTCCATAATGAGAAACAACAAATTGAACGAAGCTTTCCATGGCGCATATGCAAATCAAGAAACGTTGTGAATATCGTTCAAAACACTGTTTAATTATTACATCTATCAATTGCCGAGCTCCTCAATCAGGAAAGTCCGTAGCTTCATGCTCCAAATCATATTCAACTTACAAAATAGATCACACAAAACGACATAACGGTTGTTACATATTTATTATCACAACATCCAGCGTGGGCCATGCTATTTCTTTCTTAATTTGGCCTCAACTGTAGTAACCACCACAAAACCATTTTTGTTAGAATGATAGATACAAGTAACACACTTTTTCATTATATTTTTGTTAAATAAATTTCAAGTAGGTTTTACTAAAAGAAAATAGACTAAGGTTTCAAAATGAAATCCATATAAAACTACTTTCTAACAAGCTTTTAAGATCAGAGATATGATTTTTAAGCATGATACACGAGCCTTTAAGACCAAGTGCGTTGTCTAAGCTCCTTCAACCAACAAACAGAAACCATTTTTGAAGGCATTTTCATTCATTTAGAAAAAACCTAAAATGTTTACAACAAACTTAAGAAAGACAATGAGTTCATACGAATGGAAACTACCAATTTTACAGATTTGTTCATTTTATCACCGCTTCTCATCCCCTGCTCTATAACTAAATGGCTCATTAGCCAACTAACCTACCAAATGCCTAAAACCTTCCCCAAGAAAACCCCGAATTGCACCACTTAAGATATGTACAGCATTATCTCAAGCCAATCAGAGGTTTTGGTTAAGCTCTTCATGTAGTTCATGCATTTGAAGATTGTGCTGGTAACTTGGGATGGTTGTGGTCGCCTTCATAAGTAACAATTAGCATGGAAGGCTCTTCCAAGCACCTCTCTACGTGCTTCCTAGCAGGGCACCCTCTCATGCTGCTGCACTTATAGTATCCCCTGAGAAAATAGGAATTAGAGGTAAATTCCTCAAATATAAAACCTATATTTCAAATTCAAAGATTAGACTAAATATGTGCACATCAAATTAAGGAATCCTAGTTGATGACATGTTGAATGATTAGTCTTTTGTGATTGTCCACCTTCCTTCACCATTTATCTTGGTTGGAAGGTGTGTATGACGACGCTTGCAAAACAGCAGATATTAATTTCTCATTCATGTTTTTACTTCTCATAAACAGAACTACAGAAGAGCCAAGAAAAATTCTTGTAATTAATCTACAGCAAACCACCAGCTAGAACTGTGAACACACAATCTGTTTTAAAAGATAAAGAGAAACTAGTGAACATTACAAAAGAAAATCTAGAGAACCTTACAAACTACACAATGGCAACTCCAACAGAAGCACAACCACCACCATCGTGCACCAAAAAAATTATGCAGGTACATCATGGTTACTTTTATTGGTAGAAAGAATTGATTTAAGTCATAAAAGTAAACCAACCTGCACCTTAATCAAAATTAGCCAAAGAATGCAGAAACTTTCCAAATTATTACAGCATGGTTGTACTCAGGCACCACTTAATTCAGCCAAATATCAGAAAGTGGAACTTGGCATACCTAGGGTGAGGTGATCCCTTGATTGGTTTCTGCCCGTACTTCCTCCATGAATAATCATCAGGAGGGATATCTGCGAGTTTGTTGCTGATAGCAGGCACTTTAATTGATCTTTTCACTCTATGTTTCCTGTTGAGGATGAAAAATTAATTAGCACATATAATTTTTAACCCATTCATTGAGATAACTGGAAGTAATGATTATTGATTAATGTAGGAGACTGCAATACAAGAACATAAAAGACAGGTGAATAAGGGAATCTAACCTCTTCTTTGAGCAATGGCATCTAGCACTGCTCCCACACTTGACACTACCCTCCTCACCTCTGGCAGAACACTTTCTCTTGTGCTGCTGCTGTGAATTCTGATCAGAGTGTGCTGCTCCTATTAAATGGAAGGCACTTCCATCCATGTTAGCCACGCTACCATCTATGCTTAAGGAAGAAATGAAAGACCTAGTAGATGACATTGACGGCGTGCAGCTAGAGCTATCGAAATTCAAATTTATGACACTACTGTTCCTTCGGAACATCATTTCCGCTTGATGTTTCATTTGTTGTTGCTGCTGCTGCTGCTGCAACAACAACCTCTGTTGTTGCTGCTGAAGGATGTGGTAGTGTGTTGATGACGGTTGTTGGGTAAGGTGAAGAGGACTTTTCCCATTGGAGCTCAATTCCAAAGAAGGGTTTCCCAGACAGAGTGAATTTCTAACTGTTGGACCCAATTCCTGAACTGAATTGTCAGTAAAATTTGTTTGAGGAAAATGCAAATGGTCGGTTTTGCAATTTGGGTTGTCCAAAAGGATACTTTGAGAGAAAGGAATTTGAAGTTTTTTTTGCTTCCTAACTCTTGCATGACCCAAACCACTACCTAACAAGGAAACAACTTTCCTGAACCTCAATACAGCCTCCCCTGTTTCCACCTTTAAATTCCTATACTGAACTTGATCTTGGGGCTGAGACAACATAGTTAGAACTCTATGACAGCTCTCAACAGCTGCTCTATTAGCTTCTTCAACTTCCTCCATATTAGCCTCTCTAACTATCTGAAAAAAATAAAGACAAGAACAACAAACCAATTCCTCAACTCACAGAGAGACACAAACCTAAGCTAAACACACCAGAACACTAACAAAAGTGTCATTTATCCATAAAATCTATTACACATTTGGTCACATGTGGCAGATTAGGATAAAAAGACCCAGATAGAGAGAAACCCATTTTTCACCAAACAAAAGATGATTTGTGATTCAAGTTTCAAAATTTCAGCTCATGAAAGGGATAATTTTTGAAAACCTAGCTAAGAGAATCAAGTGGGTCTGGGTTTGGGAGTGGCTTCCAATGAACATATCTTTTGAAGAGAAATGGGACCCAAATTCCAGTGAAAGAAATAATAGTAAAAGCTCCAAAGCACGGACCTTGATTGGTGTCAAACCCTAGATTCTTCCTCCATGGTTTTGAGATTGAAAGGTGTGAAAGAGGGGACTAAGCTTAGCTTGACAATTCACACAACCACAAGAATACAGAGCTTCCAGCTTTAAAGTATATTAAATATTAAATTCCTAGTCTCCTCAGCAGCAAGTAAAAAATATATATTTGTTGTTCAAGAGAAAAACAAGAAAGTAAAAAATAAAAAATATTGAGTAGACTAGAGAGCGAAAAGAGTGTGTGTGTGGAAGAAAGAGGAGTTCAAATAAGCAAAGACCCAAGACCAAGACAAGAAGCAGCAGAAATGAAACTGCCGTCTCTGTCACAGATTTGAAGGGGGGTCCCACTCACCCGAAGACATTTGTTACACGATAAATTTTAGTTTTCTTCTCCTAAATTTAAATCGAGTTTAACTTTTTTCTAAACTAAATTAGAGTTTATTTTAGTTTTTAAAATTTTTATTTAATTTTTTAATATGTGTCTAAACATGTATAATAAAAATTTATATATAATTACTCTTTATTAAAAATAACTCATTATTACAAAATTTAATACATCAACAATATCAAATATATATTTTTAAATAAATATTTATTTTTAAAATATTTTTAATACATATCATCGAATATGTATTAAAAATTTATATCACTTAATATGTAAATTATTTAAGTTAATTATTCTATAATTTTAAATTTAAATCTAAATAAATGCATCTCGTTATGTAAATATTTAAAAAAATAATTTTATTATTCATAATAATCTTACTCTCCTTAAATATAAATATTTTAATAAATAACACATATAGTTTAGGCATAAAAAATAAAAAATAGTTTTTAAATAATTATGTTTTACCTTAAATTTTTATTTTATATTTTTTCCTATACTTTTATTAAATCTTCATCTAAAATATCAAAATTGTTACTAAATAAATATGATATAAAATAAAATAATAAAAAACTATTTATATATTTATATCGGTAAAATAAAATGTGGGCGGTAAATATTTTTTGAGTCTACTCTGTTTTGATTTTTTTCTCTTTATTGTTTTATATTTTTACTGTATTATTATTACGTCTTGTGAGTTAAAAATTCATAAATATTATTAACTGAATCAAAAGATTTTAATACTAAATTTATGTTTTTTAGAGAAAATAATACGACGTTTTCGATAAAATAGTAAAGTAAGCTCTTGCGTTGTGTTTAAGTTATTGCTCTAGTGGACAAGTACACGGTAGGTACTTAAGTCAATAATCTGGTTTAAAGAATAATATATTAAGATTTAAATCATCGTACAATCTAAAATGGTGTTTCTATACGTAGTTTTGAGTACAAACTTGTGTCATTATGTTCATAACACATCTTTAATGTACTACAATGAAGTTAACATATCTCTAAAATTTAATGTAGTATGTTACAATAATTTAATAATATTGTTGTGATAAAAGAAAAAATTATTAAAATAATAAGAATAAAAGTGAAACAAATTATAATAAGTTATACTTCAAGTAGTATTTGAAAAAATATTATAAATTAGTGAGATAAGTTTACTTATCAAATAAATTTATTTTGATAAATTAATTTTAAAAGCTAATCAAATTAGCTATAAACTAACTAGTTAAAATACCTTGTCAGCTATACTTGAAAGTTGACAAAATAGCTATAATTAATCTAAAAATACTTGATAAAATTAGTAATTGACATAATTGGTAAATATAAAATAATAAATAAATATATAACTCATTATTAACTGGACCATAATATAAAACTTAATAATTATAATTTTTTAAAATAATTACAAATTCTCATATTTAAATTTATCTCAAGTTAGTTATTATCTTAAATATTAAAGAAATATAATTTTAAATTTATTGTCATTTATAAATTTTTTATTGAATAAAATAAAACAATACAAATAAATAATCTTCTTACCTCTTTAACTTCTCCAATAAAAATGTTCAAACGGTTTAATGCAATTCAAACCAACATCCATATTAATCAATTTAAAATTAAAAATTAACAAAATTCGTTTGTCATTTTTCGATCCAAATTCAAATGAAGTTGATAGCGTTTTTGACTTTCTAATTACTACCACTTGACAGAGACCTGCACTCAGGAGAATTTTTCTTGCATAAAAAATATAATCATAATCACTCTGACGTTATATTTGGACGAAGATAGAAACGCAGAGGAAAGAAGTATAGTGAAAATAAGTTAAGAGTTAAGAAAAAATATTTCTTAGTTGTTTGAATTGAGAGTAAAAAGTAACAAGTAATAAAGAAAAGTTTTTATTTATTTAAGCTCATTTTGGACAAATTTTTAGAAATTAATTTATAAAAAAATAGTATAAAAATAAATAAAAATTATTATATAAGTTAGAAATAATATATGTTTTTTATTTTTAACAGTAAAAAAAAGTTAACGATTTTTTTTTTCGACAACGTTGTTTCAGCACAACCAATTTATTCCTCTGTTGATAATAATGATAATTCTTGTCGCTGAAGTTGAGTTATGTTGAATGTAATGATAAAATTGGCATCTACAAAAAAATAAAATAATTTCTTATCTATTTTGTTTGGGCATGTGGAAAGTTTTTTTTTTTTTTCTGTGTCAGCCTCGCTACTTTTTACTCCTTTCCTGTGTTCTCTGGCTTTCAAATGAAGGAAGTCGTATGTTTTCCTTTTATTTCCATCAAAAAATGTTGTTGAATTCCTGTGTAACGTTCATGGAGCAAATATAAAAATAAAAATTCAATGATTGCATCCTTTTAAAAAAGAAGAAATCTATCCTTAAACATGCAATAACTTCTTTTGAGTCTTGACTGATTACTAGCTTAAAATATAAATTCAATTGTGTCATTTTTCTTTTACAAAATGTTATATCTAAACTGTTTGTGGAAAAATCATATGACTAATCTACAATGAATGAAGAGTGAGCAAAGTAAGAGTAGGGTATACCTACTAAAATACTTGACATTTTAGTAAGTATTTGATGAAGTCGATTGAACGTGCGTTTGAAAATTTGTTAGAAGTATGTTAAATTTTCTTCTGATGTTAAAATTATAACTTGTTGTTCGGGGAAGAAAAACTTCCTAAATTACAAAGTTTCTTATTAGATTTTTGCATTAGGAAATGAATTATATCTTTTTAAAGAGAAACATGCTCGAAGACTAGTGATATTAGCGTATCTTTTATAAGTGCTTACATCCTAACGAGACGAGAACTCGTAAAAAATTTAAGTTTAAAATCTTTTGTAAAAAAAAAAGTCATATTTTGAGTAGTTCTAAAAGGTTGTAATATGTTAAAAATAAGATAACTTTTCAAGAATTTTTTAAGTTCACAAGACTGAATGAGCCATAGATCTTCCTTAGAATTGGTCGAAAAATTGAAACTGACAGAAAAATTATTTTAAGTCAATGATACTGAATGAGATCACGAATTTTTCTAAAACTTGTCAAAAAATGAATTGACAAGAAAAATTATTTTAAGTTCATGAAACTAGACGAGCTTACAGATTTCTCTAAAACTTGTCAAAAAAGGAATTGATAACGAAAATTATTCTAAGTCTACGAAACTATATGAGTTCATGGATTTTTCTCAAAACTTGTCAAAATAGGAATCAACAAGAAAGTTATTCTAAATCCATGGGATAAGATGAAACTCACTGATCTTCCCTAAAAACTTACAAAAAAGAAATTGACAAGGGAATTATTTTAAGACAATATGGAGTCCAAAAGTTGAAGAAACACGTCAGAAAAACTATGAGATTTGAAGCGACTATCAAAGTAGCAGTTACTATAAGTTGAAAGTTAAAGACATGAAAAATTGATTGTGAGTGAGTGACAACAGTTATGAAAAATGTACGATTATGAGCAATTATGGATAATGGCAACAATGATTAAGAAGAAACACGCACAAAAGGCAAATATCAAGAAGTGCTCATGAAAGGAGGAGAGTTATTATGGTTCACTTGTCTATAAATAATACAAAGCTTCACATTTCCAGAAAATGACTTTTTGCACCCAGACACTACACGCAAACTCTTTGTATGCTGAAATTCTGCACTGAGCCAAACACTAGCTATCAAAAGACTTACCGTCATTGTTGCTTGTTGTTACTAAGAATCGTACATTATTTTTTTGCATATTTACATTTCTGTTATTTATTTTTAGTTTGTTCTACATTTAGTTTTTACAATTTTAGTCTTATTCGATAAGTTGACATAAATTTTTTACATTCAGTTCAATACTTTATCATCATCTGGTTATTATTTCTACTTTATTATTTACTCTGTGACATCTCATTCGTTATTACGTTAACAATACATTTAAAATAATCCAAAATTACCTAAAATTCAATCTCTAAATTACTCTTATATTTATTTATTTACAACTTGTAATTTTCACTATAAACATTTGTAAACTGTAGTATTAGAATGAATTTATTTTTAAATAGATTTAATATTAATTTAAGCATACATTTAATAAAATTAAATTTGGATCTTTCACCTAATAACATGGTTGGTTTATATATCCATGACAAGTTCATGTGCAAGTGGAAGTTAACGAGTCCTTAACACTCAAGAAGGTGTAGAATGGTAAAGTCTCAAAGAATGCAATGTGGGTAGTTTCTGTTTTTCTTTTTTCTATTTTTTGGGTCAAGGCAGTGTGTTAGGTTGAGTTGAAATGCAATTCACAAGTTTGGATAAACTCTGATCGGATTCTAATATAGGCTTAGACCTCGTTGTGGTCCAAAGCAATATCAAAATTGTTAAACTAAATGCGAACATTTACTAGATCTTTTACAAGATACAGTTGATAAAAAAAAATTAAGAATTAAAAAAAAACTTAAAGGCATGTTTTATTTTTATTTTAAAAACAGTTTTCTATTTTTAAAAATAAAATATCATATAAATTTAAAGTTATGAACAGAAAACGTGGAATGGTGATCGAAAGAGTGAAAATTATTTAGAGTAGGTATTCGAAAAAATGATGTCATTAGATCTGCACGTTATTTTCTATAACTGTATTTTCTATAAATTTAAGATTTTTATAAATATTAATCTATTTTTTAAAAATTTAATAAATAGCACTTTATGTATCTTTACTTTAGTTATTATTTTTTTACTTGTTCACTTTTAAAAGAAACATTTTATTCTTATTTATTGTTTCAAAATTTTGAATAAAAAATTCATATTATAAAATTTTATTAACTTCAA